ATAATGGCGAGGGTTTAATGTAAATAATCGGTATCGGATACCGAAAAGGAAGTATAGGGTACCGAAATCTTTTTTAAGTATTGGGTACCGAGTATTGGGGACAATTCAGCACATCACTAGTCGCTCTCATTCTCGCCGCTCTCAGTTGTCAACTCTACGATGACGTCACGCTAAAATTACTCTCACGAATTCTGCCGCAATCGGCGCAATCTTGTATTCTATCATTCTTGCGTAGGCATACATACATACATACATATGTATATTTTTACATCCAAATGTACATATACATACATACATATTCACTATATCACTACAAATGCGCGTGCGTATGTGCCGCCAAATGGTGAATGAGCGCTTAATGTGTAAAATTTGTGATACATAAATGTGAATGTGAACAACCTCTGCAGGATCATTAAATGCATAAAGTTATAAGAAATGCCAGCAGTGTTGCCAGGTTTTGGGCGAGTCTATTCTCTTTTTGTCAATGCAATTCTATATATTTTTCCCATTTTTCAATTTAGGTTTCCCGTTTTTTTCCCTTTTTATATATAACCCAGTTTTTAAAAATGGCAAATCAATTTTTCTCCGTGTTTTATTTTTTTGTACGATCAATTTCCGTATTTTAACAACTCAGTCAATAACAATTAAATTTACATGTAATATTATTAATATTAAAAAATTACATTAAAAAGCGCTATATTGATGGATTTCGATCAGGATAGGTCTTTAGTCGTGTACGTGTGCTGTTAAATCGGCGATCTGTCTGTTTTTGGCACATCAAATTATCGGTAAAGGTATGGATAAAGGAGATAAAGTTCTGTCAAAATTTGTCGACAAATCTTTGGCGTCCTAAATATGACATAGTGAAAACCGGCCATTAGGAAGAAGGCTTGCTGCACATATTGTGCAATGTGCTCGAGTTTGATTGGAGGCGGATGCTGACGGACGAGATTCTTCGCGTAACTAAACTTTAAATTCCATACAGCTTTCCCATGAATTTACCGCACACTATTTTAGCCAAATAGTATTAATGAAATATTTATGGGCACGGCGGATGCGGTTTTCCCCGTTTTCACGACCATTACTTTACCAAACTTTATATGTGATCTCTGTGATCGTGATATTACCGATCGAGGGGGTGAGACTGAAAAAACAATCGTTAATTTAATTGTAAGGACCACCCTAATGTACATACTCGAGCATACGAGGCCGGCTAAATTGTATTATTTATGAATTAAATTTTATTCGATAAAATCGGAGGTCGCATGCTTATAAACAATTTGCAGCTTTTAGCCGTCGTAAACCAAAGAGGAGTTATAAATAATGTTGTGTGTGTTTTATATTGTAGAAGTGTTTTGATATCAAAAATCTGGGATAGAAACAATATCCCATCTTTCTTTTGAGCAATTAAACGTAAATAACTAAAGAATCCCGATTATTGTCCATGTAGACGCAAGGCAGCAGCAGCAGAGGAGAGGATTTGAATTTTTCGTAAATTGACATTGAAGAGTACAAAACCAACAACAACTAACACGGAACTTGTTGTTTGAGCTCTGGTGCTACTTTTACCTATCCTCGGGTGTACGCGTGTGGTAATTTTTTCAGCTATAAGGAAAGTCATTGCCAGCAAACGTGACAAATGCTGATTTAGCGCAGCCCTCCGATGTTGCCGGCTGGAAGGCAAAATTTCTGATAAGAATGTTGTTTAAGTTTTTATGAACTTTTATCGTCGGAGTATTCACTGGAAACTCATATATTTATTATTTATTTCATAAAAAAGCACGGCTTTGTGTAGCCAGTTGGTGACTCATTGAATGCTGATAAGTAAAAACATTAAACCAAATTTCGGCTTTAAGCTTCGCATGTTTTGTTGGTTATTTAAGCTATTAAGAAAATTTTTCGCGAATAAATGAAAAAATTAAAACCGACTTTCTTGCCCTCGGCTACCAATTCCCTCAGCCTTCAAGGCTCCGAGTTCCGATTGGATTGCATCATACCTAATCAGCTAGAAAAGTCCGATTTTGCCTATATTCAGTGAGCTTCCTATGTTTCTTTTATACTCAAGACAGCCAATGTATCTCTTGTATCCCCTAGGAGTTTTTAGAAAACTCAGTTTTCCCCCGATTATTTTAAAGAGCCTAGTCTTCTTTTCATCAATCTCAAATTTAGACTCCAAAATCACTGCAGAGTTTTTCCTAACGGAGGCCATCGCTATACGAAAGGAACTAATGCCAGTCAAGATTGTACACTAGGGTTGTCCAAAATAAGTAAAGTCGGAATTTTAATGCTCTCACCGCCAAGGATTGTTCCAAATCGAAAAGTATACCCCTATTTTTTTTTCAAAATTAAAAAATATTTAGAGGTCCCTCAAACGCTCAAAGTTTTCCATGTATTTTATGTGGGGGAAAACATAACTCCACGTAGAAATGGTATGGAATTCTTGAAAATCAATAATTTTCTATCGGAAAACTCTGGTTCTCTTCAGAAGACTTCCAATAACAATACCCAATCGTTTATTTAACCATTTTTTAATACTAAAGATTTTTTATTTATCCCCCCTTACATTTTCTTGCATTTTCTGGGGGTTTCGGCGGACCTATAAAACATATTTACTATGAAAAAATGGTTAAATAAATAATTAAGTATTATTATTTGGAATCTCCTGAAGGGAAGTAGAGTTTTCCGATCGAAAAATATTTATTTCTATACCATTTCTACGAGGAGTCGTTTTTCCGCATACAAAATACATGACAAATTTTAAGCGCTTTGCGCGACCTCTAAATATTGTTTGATTTAAAAATTAAAAAATGAGGGTATCTTGTTTAAATAATTAGTTTGTTAGATGTTGATATATTCTTCTATGTTAATTAATAAACAGCCACAATTGAACCTTTGATTTCCTTTATTCTTAAGCATTATCCGGACCTTCAAAATTTACCACTCGATACAATGAAGGCTTTTATCTTCGCACTATTTCTCGGAGCCCCCTATCTCTTTCGCCACATTAATGCTTTGCCGGAAATATCCAATTGCGCCTTTGAGGACACCGTCAATTTGACCGCCAGCAAAAAATTCAGCAACGGATCTTACCTCTATGAAGGTGTGTTGGTGCCACCTGCTCTAATCGGCCACTACAACTTTGTGGAGCTGTACGGTGGAGAACGTCAGCATGTGAAGAAACACATTCGAGGCTGTGTGTGTCGCCTCAAACGATGCGTCAAGTTTTGCTGTCATCCTCGGGCGGAAATGTATCGCGCAAGCGAGGACTCCGATTCACAATGTGATGAGGAACTGAGTGAGGAGCTTTCTTATTCGCCCTTCGTAAATATTACTTTACGTAATAACAGTCAGGTTTTGATGCATGTCCTGGATGAATTTGTGGTGCAGCAAGGAATCCCCTGCGGTGGAGGCTACATGCTTATGCCGCATAAATACGAAGAAGACCATTGGGAATTGTTTGAGGTAAGCCATGAAAGATTAACCCTCAAACCGGCAACTTTGAAATAGTGATCAGAAATGGTTGGG